AAAGGTGGGTGAGCTCTCACTGCAGCTACGAGAGCTTATCGCTGCGAAAAAAAAGACGCAGACTACAGCGCGGACGGACGTGGTGCTCTCAGAATCCTTCTGGAAGCAAGTCGCGGCTCAGCAACGCGAGCAACGGCTCCGAGTGGAAGCAGAGCACAAGCGACTTCTACAGATCGTCAACTCGCAAAATACATACATCGAGAACATGGGGATCGGACTACGCGAATGTCCGAGCTCCTTGAACACTCTTCAGCTATGTACAGATACTGTGGATCGATTCGACGACATCAAGTGGCTACGACTGATGCCACGTACATGTTGTATGAAGTGTATCTCCAGGAAGTGAATGACAGCTACACTCGCGTCGATAAAGTGTTCGAAGAGTGCGCCATTGACTCGATGCCTATAGACTCTGTGAGCTGCATCCATCCGCACAACCCCAATGGCAACGTACACTACACCCAATACGCCAACAAGTTTCTGTATCCGCTTGACTGCGAGAGCACGTGCAACGGCATGTGGGAGGTCTCCAAGTTGCCACACCGACGTTTCTTCGTGCTCGACTGACTGGTTCTCCGTTGCTCGCGCTGACCCGTTGAAGGTGCCTGTGGCGAGGGACTATAATGCCGTGGCTGCTTCCGCTGACGAGACGATAGCTGTCTGGTCCTTGAGCTGTTAGGCTGGCGATTGGCTGGTGTTTGGGCAGGTGTCGATGGCGTCATCTGGCCAGATCTGCTGGGGGCACGACCACCACTAGCATGCAGCTCCGACACAGCGTTTAATCGCTCGTGGATGACATCAGGAGTTTGAGCGTGATGGTCACGCTTGCCAGGGGCATGGGAAGACATTGGTGTGTGAAGCGAATTGGAGACTGATGGACTACATAAATCATAAGATTATTCCTCAGGGTTTTGTCTGGTACAACTTCAAGCGCTCTGGACAAAGTTTTGCTTAGTAAACAGAGTTTACAGTTTATTTGCAAACTTTTCTCTGAGTTAAGGTTTTTAAAGTTTTGCGAGTTTAGACCCCTAAACGCTAACAGCTCTAGCAGTGAGTACCCTGAAGAGATCGAGCAGCCTGGCTGTGTATCATCGTATGACTTAGACTTGCCCACTTACCAATTCCAGCCAATGCAAGTTTGGATAAGGATGGAATCACTGCTCGTGTACATGTTTCGGATCCATGAATTAACCAGCTTTAACGTCGTCGTTCGTGCATTTGTAAGCGGCAGTTCCAACTCCCGCTCGTGGGTAAGCGATGTCTCACTTGATTAATCGTAGGTAACAATGTCATCCGCCCTTGCGAACCCCTTTTCTCTCTTACAGCATAAGTTTGAACCCAAAATAATGAAGTTTGAAAGAGGTGTGTCACCCCTACATGCTGGTCAAAAACAACAAGTACGCAATGATATCTCATATCATTCGACAGCACTCTTGCATTTGCCGACTCGAAAGTTAAGTAGCACGGCACGATGAAGACCAAGATTAGTCTACATGAGGTCACCACAGCCACCATAGAGGAAACGCAAACGTGGTCCAGTATCGTGCTCAAGACAAGCTCACGTCGCCATCGATATCAACACCGACCGCGTCCAGTATCATCTTCACCTCGAGCTAGAGCACCCGCTACCGGGGCCACATCTTGCTAATGCGGAGTTTATGACGCTGACGTGGCCTGTAGGTGGCATCTGGAAGATCATGGGCCTCAGTGACAACAACCGCAAGGTGCACTGCATGTCGTGGCGCAAGACCGAGATGAACCACGTGGAGGTGGAGGAACTCGCCAAAAAGGTTGAGATCGCAAGCCTTTCCACTGATCCAGCCAAGGTGAACAGCTCAGCATTGGCAACCGCTAAAGCTGACGACTTGCCACCAACTTTGTTCCCGTGGAAGATGCAGCTCGGCAAGTGGGGGCACAAGCCTCATTGGTTCCTTCGTGACGTCATGCCTCCGAATGTTGCGGACAGTGCTGGCAGTAGCCACCCGGGCCCATTGACGGCCCATTTAATGGCTGGTTTTTCGCCGCTAGAGGTTGAAATCGAAGTGAATGCTATTACCTCTGTGGACACGGTGGGCCAAACGTTCACAGCTGATGTGACGTGGGAAGTTACGATGCCGGCTATCATCACCACAATCCGAGAAGACTCAGTACTACGTGAGCTCATGGACATTCTCGCGTTCGATGAGAACCAGTTTGAGTTCACGAACGTCAACTCGATGCAAGAAGAGCGCGAGATGACGTCCAGTCTGTCACTAGCGGGGCCTGTTCACTTCACAGACTCAACTAGTTTAGCGTTGCCAGTGACGGCGACGTCGGAGTATCTGAGTCACCTGCAATTCAGTCGTCGAGTGGTGGCTGCGTTTAGTGAAGAGATGACGCTGCGCAGTTTCCCTGTGGACCAACAGAAGCTCACGTTTGCGTTCTCTACGGGGACGGGGGTGAGGAAGTCCCTGCGGGTCACACCGGGAGCGGTAGACGCAGGCACGTTCGCCATCGCCAACTACAAGTTAGGCAACGTCTTTGATGTGGTACATTACGATAAGGTGTTCGTCGGTGAGATCGACGCTGAAGGTGACAAGAAGAGTATTCGATTCGAGATGATGTTGGAACGACGACCAGGTTACTACATGACGAATGTAGCCATTCCAGCTGGTATCATCACGTATTTGTGCTTTATCTCGTACGCTCCGCTCTCGGATGGCTCGCTTATGGACACTGGTGACCGCGCTCAGATCGTGTTGACCCTGTTGCTGACAGCTGTGACGTTCAAGAACATGGTGGCGTCCTTAACGCCGCAGATCTCGTACTTTACGACACTGGATCAGTACGTGTTTTTCTGCTTCATCATCGCGTGTTTGGTGGCGATCGAGAACGCACTGTCCCCGTTGTTTGTAGGACTCTTCCCGTCTCGTGAGAGCTGGCAAGAGCACAGTTTGTTGGGCTTTCCCATTGGCTTCTTCACCCTTGTCAACATCGTCTGGTTCGTATCAATCGTTCGATCTGTAAAGAAGCGTACACGAGCGTCCGACGCACTCGTGAAAGTGCACGAGGCTATCCGAGTGATATCTGCCTCAATCCCACGCGGACATCGCGAGGATGTATTGCATAAGTACATGCAACGTTTAGATATCCTCAAGTGCGATCTCCCTACCATCCGCTGCACTGAGTTCGGGTATCTACATGTTCAGTTACCAAATGACAAGAGTTTTCGGACTGAGGGGATCGATGCCAAGGCGGCGCTGCATGCTGCGAGTCGTCATCAGGCGGATCGAGAGTTTGATACTTTCAAAGAGATCTACGACGAGCTACATCCATCAGTGTCGATGCTGTGCTCGGCAGATCTTGACACTGATAAGCCACTACGCGCTGCTAAGCCCAACGACGCGTTCTTGGCAGGCGGAGGAGACCGACGTCGCTCCGTTATTGCACCCAGCAGCCCCGTAGATTCACACAGCCAAGTGACGCGACGTCGCGCGTGGCCAAGGACGTCAGAGTTCGAATGACCACTCAAGTACCGTAAGTTGAAGTGGATCCTAGTCTAGGATTGCTATAGTACAAAATATACAATTTGCTGGTCTCCATTATTAATAGCTATGTGATGGACTATGTGGACTCAGATTTTTCATTTGTGTTTTGTAAGCTCAAGTGCAATGTGACTTTTCCGTCATTTTGAAGAGCGTTCCGTGCTCAGATCTGATTCCATCTTCATCGTCGAAGTTGTTCGGATGGCGTTCCGAAGTCTCCGGATAACTCGTCGCGCAATGCAGCTCACTCCGTTCTGGCCGTACACATCCGTGCGTTTGTCACTATACGTGCTGCTGCTCTTCATGAGCCAGACACGCCGTGCTCTAGTCAGCGCCAGTCCCAGCGCCAAAGGTGCTTGTCAAAGTCTCCTTTTCTTCGAGTCGTTTCAATCCACTGACTAGCTCTGTATTATTTCCGTCTCGTTTCATTGGCATTCTCCAGCCTCTAAACGAATGGAGATCCGTGAGCAAGACTTCTCCTTCCAAGGTGCAGACGTGTGGGTTCATCTCGCCGTCTAAAGCTTCACTAACTGGCTTTTATCCGTTGTGATACACTCGTGTGTGGGTTGATTCTGCGTACTCGGTGGCTGTAGATGGCGCCCGAGAGCGACCAGTAATTGAGGTAGTGACCAAAGACGTCAGAACTGCTGATATTTTCAACGTTATGCAAGGTACGACAGCTCTACTGCTTCAGGAAGAGAGCTGCGTGGTGCTTTTTGCTCATGCCCCATACGCTGTTGCACTCTGCATGGTCTCAGCTATCGGAGGCGAGCAGGACGATCCAGAACCCGCTGCGTCGTGGTGGAAAGACGCAGTAACCGAGGAATTCACGCGGCAGGACGTCGTGGTATTGGCTTTAATCGCAATTTGCGTGTTGCGACTAGTGATTTTCGTGCTCCAAGTAACGTGGAAGCTTGTGAGGCTGCCAATACGATGGTTTAATGCACTGAAGACAGACACGGATGGAGCGATCGAAGAGAAATACAGTTTGGAGACGGTAGTGCGACGGAGGAAACAGGTGGCCATTGTGCGCTTCTGCCATCTGCAGTTTCTATTAGTGATCGAGAAATTGAAGCGAGAAATGCGAGACGCAAAGAAAGAAGACACGCAGCAAATGGTGGCGACGTTGGAAGTGTCTCAACACGAAGACGACGAAGAAGTGACGCTGGCGGAGATGCTAGCGACGTTGCAGAAGATTCGAGCACAAGACAGCAGCTTTAATGCGAGTGAGGTGGAGGAGCATCTTGCAGACATTAAACAAGACGTGGAAGACGAAGAGGACGTCGATTCAGGTCTTCAGGAAGCGTGGGAGCGCCTGCAGGAGATTTATGCGTCGTTTCTGCGTATTCAAGCCACAATTATCCGTCGACAAAGGCGAAGAATGACGTGGCAACCGCAGCACCATGAACAGCATGACGAGGAGACATCTCGACGTCGTCAGCGGCGATCTCCCAGCAGCGAAGACCCGACGGATGAGGTTTTGCAAGAGCTACAAGAACTAACAAAAGAATTGCCGCAGGGATTTACAGCTGATATGTTCACCTCTCTAGGTAATGCCATGCACGGAAAAATGGTAGCTGCTGAGCCCAAGACAAGCCCGAATCCTTCTCCACAGCCGGAGATCAAGAGCCCATACACCGTCAAGACAGCTCCCCTACCAACAGCAGCGAAATACAGCGCCACGGCCCAGAAGGCGGCGTAGACAAGACTCAAGTCTGCAGTAGTAGAAGTCTTTATTAGGACGTAAGTAGAACGTAGGAGACCGAGCTGTGCGTAGGTAGGGAAAACCATGTAACATATCCACGATACAAACCTCTCGTAGCAAGTCCGTTTCGCTGCTCTTTGCGTGTCCGTTATGTGGGATTTGACATGCTCGGCCACGGTTGCTTCAACTTGACCAGTCATTAAATGAAATCCCTCACTTTAGTGTCTATTCTGAAACCAACACAAAGGTCTCATGGGGAGTTTTGACGCGGGATGGTTCTGGGAAACAGCCCAATGAAATCAGGCGCGGCGCCGCGCCCTCGACACTTCGCCTTGAGGCTCGAGAGACGCAAGATGCAGCCTTCGAGCAGACTCCGACTGCGTGTGGGACCCAGCGCCGCCTCTTTGAGCTGCACACGGCGACTGTTAACCGTCGCCTTCCTGCTGCTAAGTGCCAGCGACGCTCGGCGCGCTGTGGCCGAACGCTCGCATCGTACGTAAGCCCACTGAGCTCTGGCTATTTAGAATTAGATCTAATGTTTGTATGTAATTTATTTCCCAGCTTATCGACGTGTGGAGATCCGCGTAGAGGATTTCTCGTTCTCGGACGGCCCTGAAGAGAAGCAACAAGTCGCTTTTGAGGCTCGTGACATTAGAGGCTCCGAATTGGCGGATGATGTCCGTATAGACAGGTGGGAGACGGCAGAAGAGCCAAGAGAGGAGAAAGAAGCGCAGGTCGAGAAGCTTCCGGATGTTCTTATAGAGGAAGAAACGCTCGAACACCCAGTGGAAGCCATTGTCACTATACAGGAAGATGCAAAGTTGAAGAGATACGCGTCGTACCGTACCGCTGTGTGGTGGTGGAGTCACGACAAGACGGAGCTGACGACACAGGAACAAGCCGCGGTACTGGCAGTTGTGGTGACGATGCTGACGGTTCTTGGCCTTGGTGTGGCGCTGGTGTGGCATCTGGGCTGGTTCTTATGGCGACTGTATCGAGAACGACGCACCTTGAGCAGGTTATTTAATGAAGAGGACTCCGAAGTGCTGGAACAGGAGCTAGGTCGATTCCCCGCGGATCTTCTATCGCTGAGGATCAAACAGGTCGCGTGTGTGCGACTTCGACACTTGCAGGTGCTGTGCAATGCGAGAGACTTTAAACAACAGCTGGAAGCCGTGGAATTCCGGGAAATCGAGATGGAATTAGTGAATCTGCCGCTGCATCCGACGTCAAGGAAAGAAATGACGTTCGCTGAGATGATGACAGCCGTGGAGGAGATTGCGTGTCGAGGAGAACAGGTGGCAGTGGAGATGATGCAGCTTGTCGTTCCTCCTCGTTGGAAGAGCTACGTGGACGAGAACTCGTGGCTAAAGGCACAAGACGAAGGGCTACAGAATTTACACGTGGAGAACGCTCGCGTCCAGCAGCTTTCCGAGCAGATATCCGAGCTCATTGTAGCGAGAATGAACTCGAGCGAGCCTCTACCCAAGCCAGTCTTCCTGTTGCTATTGGCGTCACTACGTCAGAGCTCTGGAACTCCGCCACAGAATGGAGCTAGTACCAACGCCACGTCTAGCGAGATGGACGCGTTTGCGAGGTGCTGGAGTGGCAGTATGACGATGAGTGGCAGTGTGGCGAATCTCAAGGACAAGGACGAGTTCAATTTCCTACTCAAAGCGTACGACGAGAAGTCGGAACAGCAAAAAGTCCAACAAGAACTACAGCGTGCGATCGAGTACTTCCAGTCAGCTCACGAACCCGAACACGAACAGTTGCTACTATTAGAGAACGCCGACAATGCGAGCAATAGCCAGATCATACAGCGCACCAAGCAGCTGGGAGCTACGACCGCTGCTAGTAGTGGAGCTACGGCTGCATCTATGCGGCGTTTGGAGCGCTGGGTGGACCAAGCGGAGATGATGGAGATGACGTTCGTTGAAGAAGTGGAGAGTGCGCAGTTTATGCTGGAGGATGCCCGACGCGACAGCTTCTGCGCTGCTATCGTGAGTAACGAAGGCAAGGGACTCGATAGCGTCCAGACGTTGGCAACCAACTTCGTGGCGCTCGGAGCGAAACGCGAAGACGCCATCTTGAAAGCTGGCGAGATTCTAGCCAATCGCTCCAACATGATGCTCTTGGTGCACAGTCTGCGCGGCATGTTCGATCAACTACGCAAGCGAGACATCATGAAGATGAACGAGCGTCGCAGTCGAGACCGCGCGAAAGCGCACGATAAACGCGAGCGGATGGCGCAGAAGTTCCTGAATAAACAGCGACTAATCGCTGAAAAGATCGACCGCACACGAGAAGCTCAGCGGCAACGAGAAGAGGAGGCGCGACTGCAACGACGTATGGACGAGTTGAAGGAGACACGCGCGCAAAACGCTCGAGATCGAGCGAGTTTCGTGTGGACAGTCACGAAAACCGACGTGTTGGTGGTGCTGGTGATCATGGCCGTTGTGTTTTTCGAGAACCTGCGCGAAGTGGCGTTCGTCAAGCCGCTGTGTCAGCCAGACGAGCAACAACACTGGTGGATGGTGTCTTGGTGGGCGCCTAGTTCGCTTCAGGTTTTCGGCTGTGAAGTAGCGTACGGCATGAAGATTCTGGGGATTTTACTGGCGCTTGGAGTCCTTTTCTTTGCGGTGGCGCAGCTGAATTTGGTGGCTGTTATGCTGCCTGTACTGGGAGCTATCGCGCTGTATTATCTGCGTGACGAGTGGATGAACATGCTCGTTCGTCTTCCGTTGCTACTCGTCATTTACGGCTTTAACTCGGCCGTTCTGTACCTGTTTAACCGCTCTGAAGAGCACGGTAATGACGGTAAGGCACAGAGCAAAGAGACAGGCGTCCAGGCTACCAAACAGCGGAGTATGTTGCTGTACGTCGTGTTCCCGTTTTTGTCGCTGCTTCTGACGGTGGCAACGGGTGTTGGGGTCGCGTGTGATGCTCCAGAACAGTGTGTTGTATCGGCTTATAAGGCCACGACACCCGTGCTTGCAGGTTTGTGGGAACTCGCACGAGGAGCGTATCGATTGTAGAAGCTAGAGCGTCGACGGGGGGTGATCGGAACACCACAAAGCCGTGCGTTAGTTTGCTGGCTCATTGACCAGGGGGATTTTTTATTTGAATTGTGTACTGCTACTAGACATCAAGACAAGACATTGGGAGGTTGGAAGACTGTCACGAATCTTTGAATTAAAGCTCAAATGTGGACAGGTTTGTGTCTGGTCAGGTGAAGAAGACGCACAACACAGCAGCGAGGGTGCCGGCTGCAGCGACACCGAAGCAGACTTCGTCTTGCCACTCCACGCCAATAAACAAGCGGTCGGCGTCGAATGCAGTCGGTCGACACGGCGTTTTGATCGTATCCTCTCTACGTTCCTTGCGTGTGTGTGAGGAACGTGTAGAGAGAACTGCCTTCTCTTTCTCGACTGATAAATCACTGTCGTTTAAGACTGCGAGACGAGTGCCGTCCTCGCTCGATGCGTCGTCGTCCTCAGTGTCGCTGTACAAAACTGTAGGGATCAAATCTTCAAACTACACGACGCATCACTTAGTGACTGCATACTCAAGTGTAAGTGATGACGCTCGTACCTGAAGATCTCGTCGGAAAATGTGGTCCGAGTAGCGCTGCAACATCTGCACGAAGCAAATACCAAGCTCATCCTTGTTGTCTGACAGTCCGATAATTTTCCGGTGATATTTTGTGGTAAATGTGGTGAAGACCTGCCGAGCACTCCGCAAATATTATTGTGGGAATTAGGATAGAATTGTTCGTCGATCTCCTTTACCTTTTGAGATTGGTCGTGCATGGAAAACCATCGGAAGACGTTCATGAGTGCGTCGAGACATTCACGTTGTTCGATGCCGACCAAGTCCACTGCATTCACCAGCGGGTACAACATTGATAGAGGGATGGACTCTTGACTCGCTGCATCTCTCTCCTTTGTTAACAAATATTCCAAGGTCGAAGACAGCATACTACTCGCTTCGCAATGCACCAATGGCGTCTCCAGTTGTGTCAAATACGACGTTAATAATGCGGCGAGAACGCGGCATTGGACAGCAGTTTTGGTTCGCTGCTGTCTGAACAGCCTTTTAATCACCACAAACGCTTTCTGCTCTTGCAAAAGTCCGTCATTCTTAACTTCACTCGGCACCCACTCGAGAAGAGCCGCGTGTAGTCGGCGCTGTAGTTCTGTAGTCTGTTCATCCACCAAGTCTGACGTGGCAGCATTCGAAAAGAAATCGGCGAGTTCTGCGTCCGTCACCACATCCGCCGTCTGCGATAGGAACATGAACAGATACAGCGAAATGATGCGGAGCAAGTGCAGCAGAAGGCTGTCGGCGTCGCCCACATCGCATCCGGGCTCCAGTTCCTGTATACCCGCGGGAGATTCATCAAGTCTAGACGCGTCCGACCGCGTCATTGCCGCTATACGCGCCGTCATTAGCAAGTAGCTTCGCCGATACGGACGGGTTTAAATTTGTCCGAGCGATCGGTGGGCCGGGCGAGTTCTTTGGTTGAAGTAGCAGCGGTTTCTAGCGCTGCAAGTTTGATGCTAGTGTCAATGCAACAGATAATCGAGAAACGTCCCACTGGCTCACGTGAAACCTCGTGCAACTGAGACGATGCCTGCCTCCAGGTCAATGTTCAACTGAGCAGATGAAACGCAAAAGACGCTTGGGTGGGTGGACTGCAAGGCGTGATCCACACAAACCAATAATGGGATCGGCGTGTTCAAATCTGGGGGTATGATCATCTCTAGTCGGTAGGTTACGCCATTGCGTAACTACTGCCTGTCCATGGCATCTGAAGGACCGATCTACAGCAAGCTGCAGCCAGCGTTAGGCGTCTTCGCTCTGCTTGTGACTCTATACATCATTCCACCAGAGTCTGTGGGGCGTCTGCTACGTCTTCTAGTGCTCGTGTACCTGATTCTGTCTCTTCTCGATGTGTTGTTGACTCGCTACCATCGCCGGAACTTCTCGTCTTCAGAGCCCGAGCCTCAAGCCAAGCATGTTGCGCTTGTCACAGGAGCGTCGTCCGGACTGGGCAAGGAGATGGCATACCAACTTGCCGGGAAGCGGTATTCCCTTCTACTAGCAGCGAGAACAGAGTCCGTGCTGCAACGGATGCAGATGGAGATCGAACAGGCCCATACTGGGGTCAAGGTGTCGTTCTGCGCATGCGACTTGGCCTCTGAGACGGGCATTAACGCTTTAGTGGCACACGCAGCCAAGAACGGACTCGTTGTCGACATTCTCGTGAACTGCGCCGGGTTCTCCATCACCAGAGACTTTGTCAGTCTTTCGCAGACGCAGGTGACGCAGATTATGGCGCTGGATATGGCGGCGGTGGCGCAGCTTACACACGCGTTCGTGCCGCCGATGGTGGAGCGTGGAGTTGGTAGAGTGCTCAACATCGGCTCGATGGCTGGCTCGGTCGTGACGCCATCCGCCGTGTTGTATAGCAGCGCCAAGGCTTTCGTTATCAACTTCAGTCAAGGACTCGACTACGAGCTGCGCGGCACGGGCGTCACCGTCACGTGCTTCTGTCCGGGTCCGGTGCATACGAACTTTGGACACATTGCAGCTTGCGACGACGCTATCTACATGAACATCCCTGGGACTGCATGCACACCCAAGGACTGTGCGATGCTGGCTCTACAGGCGATGTTCCGTGGTCAGATGATGGCGTACGATACCTGGTTTGCCCAAGTCTCGGCGTTCCTCGGCGCGTGCGTGTCCCCACGGCGTCTCCTTGCTGCAATCTGTGCCGTGTGTATGAACGCGCCTAACAAGGCGGCGCAAATGCTTCGCAGCTAGAGAAGAGGCTCTTATCGAGACCAACAAGAAGGATTAAACAGTTCTACATCATTCTTGATTTCAAAACTTCACATACATGGGCTCTATGAGCTTTGAGTGTCTAAACGAGCTCCAGGGCGTCGAAGACAACCGACGCAGCAGGTATTTCTCGGCCGGGTCGCTAGCACCGCTAGCAATCGACAGCGTGATGGTGTTCGACCCCGTCTTAAGAGCAGACGACGGGATGACGTAGTCGTACAGCTTGTAGTTGCCGAGAGTGACACCGCGGGTGATACCACGTGTCTTGATCCCCACAGATTCAGGAAGCTCAGCCGTCCAGTCGTTCACAATGACTCTGGAGCGCGCACCGGCCTTGGCGAGAGTCAATCCGATCTTGAGCGTCCTGGACTCCGCGGCCTGCGCGTCCGTCAGGTCGAAAGTGATTTTGATATTGTCGTTGGCGGCTCGGAACTGAGCAAGGGGAACTTGCTGCTGTCGTCTGTACCAGCGGCAAACGTGGTCGGGCCCCACGCAGACATACGCGAGTCGCTCGGGTGCATCTTCTGGATCTTGTCGGCGTTCAGGAAGCCGTCGGGAGTGCCATCCCACTCACCGATACGAAAGATGGGGCTCTTGACGAGCTCGTACGTCACGTCAATTGTCTGCGTCGCGGACTCACCCTCAGCCACGGTAACGGAGGCTGTGCTGACAGCCAACTGCTTCTTGTAGACGGTGGCCTTGTAGGTGCTAGGCTTCATCTTGGGGGACGTGAACGTCTTGGACCCAGCAGCCACCCTGGTCCAGTACTGAGCGTCGGCGTTCGAGAACGTTACAACAACGCCCGAGTCTTCCAGAACGCCGTTCGCATCTGTGATCGTACCGGTGACTTCGCCACGCTTCGCATCCGGGACAAAGCCAGTCAGAGTCTGGTCTTGAAAGAAGGAGAAGTCAAGTGACGAAGGTGACGGAGCAGCACCGCTTGTGAGCGCAAGCGCGTACGGACCGTGGAACCCGTAGCGGTACTCTTCGATACGCGTGTGGTCCGAATTCATGTAGAACGTGAGCTCGTTAGACACGTCGAGTTTGTTGTTGATGTCGCGGAAGAACGGACCGCCACTCGACGTCTCGTATCCGTGCTCGGAAATCACCAGGTAGACGCCAGCAGCGGTGCTGTTGACACCGTGGACAGCATCGTCAATGAATGGTACAGCCGAGTAGTATTTCGAACGGGTGATCCCTTCACCGTTTTGCATGACATCGGTGGCCTCAATTGCAGTCATACCAGACTCGACAGTAGCTTCGAGGATACCCTGGTTCATCACGGCCTTGTCCAAGCGAGCAAGGAAGCGCAGTTCCGGCAGCACCAGGTCTTTCGAGTGGTATGTACCCATGTACACTACGTTCTCGCTGGGACGGAAGAAGTAGGATTGCTCCAGTCCAGTCTTCTTGCAGTTGACGTGGATCGTCTTCTTGTCGTCATTCAAAGCTTCGATAGTCGATGTTGTCCCCGAGCCCAAACCCGAGTTCACGTGCGTACCCATGGACTTGTACTGCAGCTCCTTGTCGTTGTAGTTAATGGACACGATATCGCACGTCGACTGCCTCATGGAAATGGTCAAACCCGCTCCCGTGCTGATAACGTATTTATCGGCGTTTGTGGTGTAGCCGAAGTCCGTGGCCGCGGAGGTCATTGCAACCAAGGAAGCTGCCGCGAGTGAGGCAAGAAGACGACAAGGCAGCATTTTGAAGCACTAGTTGACGAAGACACGGAGAGTTGGCAAATGAACTCAAATGCTGGAAGGTTTAAAGAGCAAATAGGAGTGAGGACGCACGCTGCATCTGCCACACGGTGTTCGTGAACGAGGAATACGAGCAGCACGAATGAAGCAGGTTCAGAAAGCTGTCGAGTTGTACTCCGAGGCTATCATCTTTATCTTGTGCAGCATCAGGGCTGAGCTTTGCCATCAAGGACCGTCACTGCCACAGACTGCAGTCTTCAAGGTTGGCGGTCAAAGACCAGTTATTCCCGCAATTACCATAATCCAGTACTTGATCGTCTGCAAAGCGAGCAAGGGTCACGATTGATACTATTAAACATGTAGTGTCTTCTTTCTTTTAATCCCATTATACTGAATTGTAAATTACCGCTGTTGAATTCTGACACGAACTCCATGACTTTGCTCTTGGTGACAAAAGTTATTAAACAGCTGTCGACAATACATGTATTGGTTTAGAGACGAGCTTCACCTGATAACGACAAACAGATCAGTTTACTTTATTTTAGCCATAGTGCAAAAATCATTTATGCAGGTAGGCAAAGTCATAGAGCCCCCTACTGACCGAGCTACCCCTTACAACCTGAAATGTACAATAGATCTCAATCTTTGACACAGTTTTGTGCTCACTGCGAAAGTTGTGGCTATAACCTTCGCACACTCAGACTGCCTGTCAACAAATTGATATTATTCAGGTAATTCCATCCAATCAGACCGGCTAATTTTTCAGCGCGCTGTCCCCAAAAAAAGGTTATAAATGATTTTTATTGATATTTTACCCGACAAAATAAAAGCGACAATAATTGGGGCACCGAATGGAACCAATCTTTGTAACAGTTTTATATGGCAGCTTCGCCTATACTCCTAAGCGAATAGGATCAACCTTTTTCGTAGATGGTGCTGCACGTGCTAAAGATAGAAGAAGTCTACATAATTGAGCAATTGAGGTGCATGTATAGCTATCTGCTACTTTTGTCGCCGCTATGGTATGCCACAATTCCCCCATAGGATACTTAAGTACGATTTTTCCAGTATCTGCCACACCATACTAGAATCAAGATATTTTCGTTCTCATTTTGTTAAAAAAATATGTCATGCATCTTACGCTGGCTCACAAAAGAGGTTTTGGTCTTACTGAAGCAGTTGACTCGGAATGTCACTTGAAGTAATGGCGACTAAGTTGCATTAGAAAAGAAGTGGGTGAAGCGTTGTTCAATGTAGCACTGCCTTGTACACGATCACGACACAAACCGCCGAACACTATGGACTGACTCGCCTAAGAGGCGCCGAGCACTAATAATACGAAGGTCTGAGTGACTCAGTGAGGCGCCTAAAAATTATAGGCTACCAAATTTGTGCCAGCTCCGCTTTTTAAACCATTTTAAAAAAAAAACGTAAATGCTAGCGAATGGGATTACGGAATGCTACTTCTTGCACGGAGCGAGTCCCAAGAGCAAAGACCGAATGTAGCTATTGGTAGTTTGGCAGGAGAAATTTATCAGCATGAATGGCTATTGAAACACCATGTACCACACTACAGTACTATTTTAACATTTATTACAGTATTAAATCATAACACTAAAATATGCAGGTTTTAAATGACCTTATAGTACATCGAGACAAGACGCTCGTAGAGTCTAATAATTGCGGTTGTTGACAGCCGACATCGCTGTTTACGATTCTGGTTGAGTCAAATCTTGATTCCCAGCTTACAATTTGTCGGTCTTGCAGCAATAACTCGGAGGATCAGGGAGCTACACGATGTCAGCACTTACGATTTTGCCTTATGTAAATGGTTGTGCTATTTCGTCCGCCTATCATTTGTTCCAACTAATTATCCGGCTATACATATATACAAAAGGATCAAACGAGAAAAGGAAAAGCTTAGCTTTACAAATATAGGGACACACTTGACTTGACATGTTACGCCGTCGGCTCTAGGTAGAATCCCAGTTATTACCAACGGTGTGAAATTTCATTAATCATGCACTAGTTTTCAAACCAACCTACGACCAAATAATCTGTCATACAAGTAAGCAAATTGTTTTGTTATAAAACCAAAACATGTACCGGTACAGTAGTGAATTTATTACAAAAACAAGTAGTACGACAGATTTATTTATTAATTGGGCTCGACACAAAATATGTGTGTTTTTGTGATAATCATGTAATAAAGGCTGCTTTACCTGATTTGTATGCGTGTACAATTTCTTAAATCGAGCACGAAATGCTTCAATATATAAAACACTCGTCTATTGTATCCCTACAGAAAACCGAGCCTTCAGCATCCTGTACGGTATTGTTGTTGGTACATTATTACGTTAGACATTGTGCTTAAAAGTGAGTACCGAGCTCTCGAAACAGCCACTTCAAAGAATAAAGTGGTTGTTTTGAGAGCCGAAGTGCGGGTAGTACCAGCAAAAAAAACAGAAATACCGGTAGTACTATGTTCAGTACCCGGGAATGAGGGAGTCGTTCCAGGCGTCGTACCGCAGACTGGGAGTGTGACGGGGTCACACAGCACCTTGCGCTTGAAGAAGTCGGCTTCCGAGAGTATACAAACTCTCAGTGAACAGTAGTTATGTAATGAGGCACAAACCAGTGTACCTCAGGCTACATAAAGAGTGACCCGTCACTCTTGTGGGCACCTGGTACACGGTAAACTCCCGCGGACGTGAGCGATGAGACCAAGCTCGTAGGTCTCAAACGCAGCCACGCGTTCGTGTTGGTCGACAGGCGTCACCACCGCCAAGCTGCGGAGGACATCTTGTCCAAAGATGCCTCCCATCTTCCGAACAGACACGTACTGTGAGTCGCCCAAGCGAGGAAACTCATTTCGGTCCATCGCGGCTCAAACGTTGAGCGCACAGAGGAGTCAAGTAGTTCAATCTACCCGCGAAGGTGTAGAATTGACTACGGCTGCTACCAAGTGTGACGGGGTCCCACAGCACCTTGCACAGAGAAAGTGCTTGAGGGTATTTACTACCCGAGTGAGCGTTAGTCCACGTGTTCCTGGCCTCAGAGGGAACGCTTTGCTACTTAGAAGAGTAGATTGAAGACTGCTGTATTTATAGGTAAGCTTAGCTTGGGTCCTATACAAACTAGAGGCTACCTATATTGGAGCTAAGTAGTCATGCCCTGACTGGCTCCGAGAGCACCTGGTACCGTGTACCAGGTGTCCACAAGAGTGACGGGTCACTCTTTATGTAACCGGGGGCACACTGGATTGTACCCCGTTACAGAATCAAAGACACTTTTCAGAGCTCTATTCCAGAAATTCTACTGCTCTCTCTCTTCATTTCACCTTGTCATGAGCGCTAAGATCGTGATGAGGCTTAGCACCTGGGCTGATATAAATGTTCAGCTTCAATGAGATAAAATTCGTTTATGACGCCCTAATTGTAAGTAACCGCGTTGAATTACAGTATATCGTGGAGTTCTTCAGTAAGATAAGGTAAGGTATTACGTGTTCGCGTAGCCAAATTACACCTGCGCTAAGCTCAACTTTGCTAGTCGGCGGCATAGATTGGTGTCCGCATACGTCGAGTCTCCAGTCATAGGTAGAGAGTCACATATTGTAGTCGAGAGTTCCTTCCAATTGCCGCTGTGGTCAGCGAGCCGTTGAAGTTTGTAGAGGTCTTGTTCAGTCCTTAGGCGGAATTCGGAGCCGCTGGAAGCGAGATCTGTATCAAGAATAACGGGAAGCGTGGTGCGAAGTTTTCCGCGCCACTTACCTGCTTCGTTAGGTGCTAAGTACGCCTTCATCTGGAGATATGCCGGGATGTCTTGTCGCCGAAGCATGTGGCCGAGCAGCCCCCATCGGGCTGCTGTGATCCGTTGTCGTAGTGGGCGTTCCTCGCAGATTTCGTAGAGAGCCGCGTTAGATGCGGCGCGGGTAACGAATATTGAGAGCGCTTTGGAGTTGGCGGCGATGAAAACGTTCCAGGCGGTGCAGGTCCGAGTTGGGCAGCGCCCTTGTCCCGCAGTTGTAAAGCAGAATCGGGAGAACGTAGCAGTTGTAGAGCCGGATGCGTGTTTTGTCGGTCAAGTAGTGTGAACGGAGCCAAAGGGCCCATAGACGACGTAGTGCAGCCGCAGCAAGGATTTTGCGCCGGGATGGATCTTCAGTGTCTCCGAGTAGAGAACCAAGTTTCCGAGTTGAGCGCCAAGTTTCTGCGGCAGCTCCAGAAAGTCGGTTTGCCCCGGATGGCCGTATATGGCGTTGCAATAACGTGGTTTCCGTCTTGGATATGTTCATCTTGAGGGAACAGCGGGCGAGGATTCCTGGAGCTTGCTCTAGGATTGTTGTGACGGCCGTGAGGTCTCTGCAGATGAAGTCGGCATCGTCCGCGTATACAACCATTTGCTCCTGTAGATCGTGGGGTACGTCGAGCTCGTTAGCTACTTCTCTTAATTCTGCTATTAAGTAAATCACAAACAAAACATGTGAAGGTGAGTCGCCTTGGGGTGTTCCCGTATTGTTGTCAATCGGCTTGAGGGTAATGTGTCCTGATCGAAGAGATAACGTGGTCTTGTGTAACAGTAGTCGTATCAGCCGGACTTCATCTTCTGGTAGGAAGCTGTCAAGAACGTCGAGCAGTTTCTGTCGGTCGATAGTATCAAACGCCCTGGACAGATCTATACCGAGAACGTGAATGCGTTCACAGTATTTTTGTACTCGGGCGCATAACCAGCGATGAGTCCATATTGCACCAGCAGTGCTTCGATGTTTCCGAAATTTACATTGGTGTGGAGATAGAAATTTGTTGACTGCTGGAGTGATGCGCTCAAGTACGATAAGCGAAATGGCTTGCCGGGTGCTGTTAAGAAGAGCAACTGGCCGTAGGCTTGAGCATTCCCCTCGGGGTTTGTTCGGTTTGGGTAGGCATAGTAGAAAGCCTTCACCGAGCTCGAGAGGCTCACCCTTTGTAAAGCTGTCGTTAACAAGTGACGCTAGTTTCGGGGCTAGGACTTCAGCACCATATTTGAGTAGCTCTGCTGGGATCTCGTCCGGTCTTGATGCTCGGCCATTGGTAAGCCGTTTAAGCGCGAAGAGGAATTCATCAGCTGTGATCGGGGTGTTTAGGGGACGCGCTGTCGTGTCCGTATCGATGGAGGGCCGCGTATCAACAAAAAAATGCTTTCGAAAGTGGTCACAAATAAGGGAGTTAGAAGTTTTCTGTACTTACCTTTGGCATCGCGTAGCATTATCTGTTGCATTCGGGCTCGGGTCACGTCGCGTACAGCTTCGTGAACTTGGGCCGTAGGGCCGTAGGGCTTAAATCTTCAGTCCGCTTGATCTTGTCATCGATAATCTTGGTTGCAAGGTCCCGGCATCGAAATCGTAACTGATGGAGGTTCTACAGTATTCGATGTTATTCTAATACTGTACGTTACTTCTAGCGTGTCCAAAAAATAATTTTGAAAATAGTTTTCTGTCTACAGCACGACACTGTTTATTGCGAAAGTTACAAATTGTACACACTTCGTCCTTATACTATATGCTCTCCTTCTGCCACAAAGAAGCTCAAAAGTCATGGATCCTGAGCTCAACTCACCTTCGACGACGCTCTTTAAGGACAAGCGCTTCAAAGACAGCAAGGTCGCGCTCTATGCTGTCCAAGACTACGCGCTTTACTACAATAAACGAGTTAAAGTTGCTCGACGCGGAGGCAAACACTGTCGTGGTATGTGCTTCCACCCAGGCGTGCCCATTCTACGTTCAGCTCTACCTGCACAACTCCAGGACAGACCACACCTGGTACGTGTCCAGCTCCGACCTGACACACTTGCCTGAGTGCACGTCGACTGCTAAGCCCACTCAACGTCAATTGGTGGAGAGCTCGAGTTTCCTGAAGGCTCTGGCAGCCACGCCCGATGGTACAGCTACACGACTGTTACGGCAACTTCAAGGGAAAACCAATCTACGAACGATCTATCGAGCCAAGCAGGTCATGAAGCAGAAAGTGTTGAACCAAGCGGGTAACTCGTTCCGGAAGATCCCGTTGTTCTTACAATTTGAACCCAGATTCCTTTACGAGGTCCGCAGAGTAAAAAACGGGGCTTTATCCAGAGCTTTTCTGAGCTGCTCTGTGTTCACGCAATTGACGGGTTTTAATCATCAAATCTATATGTTTGAAGTGACACCTTGCAACAACAGTGAAGCGAACTACCAAGGAGTGCAAATGGTCCTCCTTGGCAAAGACGGCAATTTGCGCAACGTAACAATTGCAGTGGCATGTTGTGACGATGGAGAACTATCGGTGGTTTTTCCGCTGTGTGGAAGACAGCGGCGTGGATTTGAAGTACTGTCCTGTGCTGTGTACTCTTGACGCGGAGCTTATAGCTGTGGCAAGTGAGCTGGGGCTTACTCTACGCTACTGCACAAGGTACATTATTGAACATGAGCTGGCCCAGATTGGGTCATTTAACAAGCATCACCATGCGCTGGTATGGGGGTTGCAAGGCTCGGAGAGGGAGGTGGAGTACGATAACCGCCTTGAATGGATCGGCAACCTGTGGGCCTGCTGTTGAAAAATATCTTGGACAACTTTGTTTAGAGAGCTGGGTTGTTGCGGGAATATTGGGAAAGTAGCGATGTAAGGATGGCGAAGACGGACGTTTTGCGAGACTTTGGAGCAGGAACAGATAGTTATTAGCGGAGCAGGAAGGTCAGTGATCTGCGTCTTGGAGGAAGCGGTGGTAATGTTGGGACTAGTTTTAACTGCTGCAGTTGGTACTTCATCAACCGACTCACCGGCGGGGACACTGGGTCAGCTAAGGGACTTGAGCGGGGCTCAAGACCTCTACGACGCACAATGCAGACATATTGGCGAGTACAAAGTTCGTCGAGCCTCGGAAACTGTGGCATTTGTGACGAAAGATGGATAAAGGATTCCAGCGCTCGTCGACACATGGACTTGCAGACTAGCACCTGTACGTGCACGTTCATCGGGCAGTATGCGATTCCGTGCCGCCATCTTATCGCGGTGCTGCTGTTCTGCAACCAAATGGATTCAGTCATCGAGCGTTTTGCTCCTGGCTATCTTGCGGAGAACTGCGCATTGACATTCGAGGGGAAAACAGTGGAATTACCGCTTAGCTCAGCTATCAGCGTTGATCCTGTCTGTGTTCCATCCATGATCGTTCCATCTTCTCAAGGAACAAAAGCAAATGCTAACACAAATTAAGAGGATATCGACTCAACATCCCGTCGAGGAACCAAGCGCCCAGCATCTGAGTCGACCAGCGCTGTCGCGAGCGAAGCTCAGTTGGTGGATGCCGAACCAGGCAGAGAACCTCAACGTGTACGGCTATGCAGAAAGTGTCGCGGGCCAGGACATAACTCCAGGAGCTGTCCTGGAATCCTGGACCAGGACTCGCTATAGATCAGCAAAGCACACGCTGTTTACTACTTCGAAGTACATGTACAAAGTAGCTTCGTAGTATCTCTATTACTTACTGTATAGATAATCTAATGCAGAGCACATGTATCAAGACCTGAAAATACGGCTACAGTACTACGCTGCAACTTGATTCATTAATAATAGCCGTATTTTGGTCAATTCACTGTTTGCATCACCCAACTTTTGCTTGCACTCGCAAAGATTTGCAGCAAGAGAGCGACATAAAGCAGCGATGAAGTGGTCTTCAACACAAAGTGCGAGCCAAAGAGGTCTACATGTACAGTACATCTACGATTAATCGCGAAAGCTGAAGCATTTTGTGACAACGCATCTAAAACACCTTGTTTTGCAGGATAACACTTAAGCTTTGTTTCACTTGGTATTTGTAAGAGCAGCCGGGGGGGATTACCCGGCTCTCCTGTGGAAAGGCATTATTTAATGTAAAGAGGTCGTTATTAATACCAGCCGCGCTTCGCTTGGCTGGGGCTCGCTTCGGTCGCGATTATTATCCCGGCCAAAAAGGCTTGGACAAAAATGGTAATATATTTTATCTTAAATTAGAGGAATGTAACTCCGCAACCGTAGAGCCGATTTCGTTGTGTGTCCCCTTAATAGATAGCTTGGTGTCTATTTATTCTCGTAAGAACTTCACAGCATCTAATAATGTTCACTACTTTTCAAATGGTCGCCGGTAAGAAATTGACTGCTGCTGAGAAGTACTTGGTTGTGAAGACCTACGAGTTCCTCCGCCAAAAGAAGGCCTCTGCACCGCATCTATGGAAAGGAGGAGTTCGTTATCATGTCAAAGAGTGTTTAGGCTTTGCTACGGGCACCATTTCAGCTATATGGGCGCACTGGGAGCAGCACCACGACAAGAATTTCACCTCGGTAGGCTGTACTTCATATCATTTCAGTTATTATTGATATTTATCATTTCAGTGGTCGACAAATTAATTATGACAGATGGAAGGTCCAAAACCATCTGGGAGGCCTCCGAAACATGGAGAAAGCATACAGCCTCGTCGGTGTCAAGAATGAACAAGAGCGGAAAACCTGTTGCAGCACCACAGTTAGCACAGCGTCTTAAAGAAGAGCACAACATTGTGGTATCAGTGCGCTCACTACGTCGCGTGCTTAGGAGGATGGGAATGCGATTTATAAAAGGAAGGTCTCGCAATATTATGGCAGAAACGACGGCAAATGTTGCGTTCAGGGCGCAATATTTGAGAAAAAAAGTTTTAAACCTGAACAGACGCAATTTTCCAGTGCGCCCCGAGGTTTATCTCGACGAGACTTTTTGTAACCTGCACCATGTCGCCAATTTATCGTGGGTTGATGAGGACAAGCTGCGGTATACGAAGAGTGGTCGAGGTCCACGGTGAGTGTTTTATTTTGTTTTTGTAAATTAAAACCTTAACGTTATTTGTATTAAGAATTTATAACAATTATTTAATTTTTTGTTTTTAAAGGTTTTGCATTATAGCCGCTGGTATACTTCGGCGAGAAAAGAATGGATTAGTTGGTGAATTGGTCAAAGAATCGAAAGAGGTGTGGCAATCCAACTTAAAACGTAAGAACGATGACGATTATCATGGCAACTTCAACATCGAGCAGTTTAAGAAGTGGTTCACGAATCTGAGTGCTATTTTGGCGTCCAAGTATGGGCCATGTAACATACACATGGATGGGGCCAGCTATCACAAACGCCAAACGAACCCCACTCCACAATCCAGCATCAGATATGCCTGAGCTACGCTGTAAAATCTACGAAGGTTTTGCATCGCTCACGTCAGATACGTGGGTAAATGCATACACACACGCACAGAAATACGAGACAAAATATCTGCAGCAAGGTGATGAATGCGAAATTGCATCGGAACCAGAGGGCAGCAACGAGGACACGGAAGAGGATGACGCCGTCGATGACAATGAAGCTGTAGCCGATTAGGAATATGAACGGGTGACCCGTTGTATGTTCTTTACACTCTAGATATTCTTTTGACGGGTTCTTTTTAACAAGTTTATAATTTTCTAACAATCGTCAAATTGCGGTAATATTTGGAATTTATCCATCCGGTTCTGAAAATCCCCACCTGTTATCCCGGCTCTGCCAATGAATACGCATGCATGTTAGTACGTGCCAAGCCCACAATTGCAAACAATTCTGCAAGATATAGAGCCTTTTTTAAACGGCCGATTGGGAGATCAATGGTTGCAGATACGCAAAAATAGACCTCAAAATCGGAATCTACGCCCGATTTTACCCCTTATATCTAACTATCGTTATGGGTTTTGTGAAGGGAAGGGTTACCTTTTTTGGACCAAAGTTTGTCCAAGGTTTGGTGGCCGGGATAATAATAGATTCTCTCACCTGGGAAGTGCAATGCGCGGCTCGCTGGTGAGCTCGGCGCTGGGCCCGCCTCCGCAAATACCGCGCGGCCCTGCTTCGCGGGCTCCCCGCGCGGGTTTGCTGCGGCTACGCGACCTCGCACCCGCTCGCCTTAGTTGGCGCCATAGCTGCGTCGCCCCTCCCCGGAAGGTGCTATTATGCGTTTGAGGGTGCTGCACACCGTTTCGAACGGTGTTTTTGCAATTTTGTCGCATTTTGTTCCGGCCTGCGTGTTCTTCCAGTTTGTTTGGCGTTTGAAGTGCTTGTCGTTGTTTCATTGTGTACGTTATAAATAGCAATGACAGTACTGGAGTATTAATACCTGTAGCTGTCCATCATGGACACTCCATCGGACTCCGATGGTCCGATTCGGAGAGCCATTGCGCAAGCCGGAGTGGCGGGGATTCCTTCTCCACCTTCGCATATTCATAGAAGGGGGAGGGTAATCTTGATCCGGTGCAAACAGCGGCGATTACTGTGTGTAGTATGGGAGTCAACTGACATTGACTCAAATTGACTCAGATAAAGTGCAACCACAAGCCAAACTCCTCGATGTCTGCACCTCCCGATGATAGCACGCATGAATTGAAAGCACTCTGCGCACCCTGCTCAAGAGCGTAGGCAAATCGCGCTCAATACTTGAGCCAAGTGGGAAACCGACGGCTAAACAGATCGGATCACTTCAACGTGCTTTTGGTTGTCACAAACAGCTGGGGCGACAGCGCAGTTACGGTATCAAGACCGGTGCAGAAAGGTTGAGTGTCCTATGAATAGCGCAATGTTGGGCATGCTTTCTGGACAAGCTGTAAGATTTTATTGAGAAGAAGAAACACGCTGCAACCATCAAGCATGGAATGTACAATTGCTTAAGCACCACTACAGCTAAATTAATGTACATGTTACATGAACAGTGTACAGATCTGTATAGTGTCGCAGCATGTCATGTCTGTGACACCTCTGTTTCGGAAGATGCACTTCGTGCATACACTGTATGTACATACACGCGTTCTCCAGTCGTGCATGCTGATCTCTATGCATGGGTTCGACTGTGCTTCTCCACGTCTGTAAAACCGCCGCACCAACAGCGCTCTCTGGCCATCGACTTCATACCTTAACGCCACCAACGAGCGGGCGTTGCTCTATCTCGTGACGAGATTCTCGTCCAGCGCGGACGTCCCATCTTATCTAGCCAGCTTCGAAAATGTGCAGACACTGCGGAAGCGTTGCACCGCGCCTTATCTTCGAGATTTGCACGTCCTCTTCCAGAACACCTTCCAGAATGTCGACCGAGACTACACGAATATGTACAACTACCGCACCCCAACCGACCAACAAGCACGACAAGCTGCGTGCTCGCCGCAAATGACGACTAGCAATGGCCGTTGGTCTCCGCTGCACGAATTAAAGCCTCTTGCGTGAGTGAGGGTCTCGTCCGTCGAAACGCGAATCAGATCGCGTCATTAGAGAGATTAACCAATCAAATTGAAGGCCCATCACGCTACCTTTTGAGATCTCGCACGTGCGTTTCGCAGGCTGCGCGTTGAAGTGCCGCATCCATCATCTTTAGCCCATCCAAAGGCCCTTTAAAAACCGACGTTATCATTTCCAAATTGGCTCTTTAGGCCTCACAACACCTCCAACTACCACAGACGGGAGTTAACATAACCTCCCGTACTTTATCAACTAAGAACTTCAACTCGCATACTTTCCGACTGCTATGCCAGGCTACGAGAGTGGGGCGTCCTTGCCCTCACGCTCACTGCAGGATAACGGCAACTACGCCAGACTGGAGTCGCCTCGTGCGTCCTCCCACTCGCTCGAGTCGCCAGCCCACCACGTCGTGGACGTGTCCAGCGGCGCGCGCTCCTTCTCAGCCGCTGATCTGTACCACGTCGACGCCAAGATGGCAACCAACAGCAAATCGGTTGCTGGAGGATCCAGTACTCCGCTACCTGATCACCGTTCGCGATTCTTAAATGACGGAGAGCTTCTCCTTGCTGCCAATCCCGTGCCCACGCGCGAGTCCTTCGCGACACTTAATGAGACCGACGAGAAGACGTGGCACCAGCGATCTACCGAGCTTATCACTAAAATGCTAAACACGAACCTCGAGCGGGGACTAAATGTCATGGACGTGGAGCGTCGGATACTGCGTTACGGTGTCAATGCACTGGAAGAAGAAGCCAGAACGCCAGTCAGCGTGATCTTCCTGCTGCAGTTCTACAATCTAATCATCGCCATGCTGCTCTTCGCTGCGTTGGCGTCTTTGGCCTTGCAAGAATGGGTTGAAGGTATCGCTATCCTCGCCATTGTCACGCTGAACGCAGGCGTGGCGACGTACCAAGAACACTCCGCCAGTAACGCGTTAGCCGCGCTTGCCAGTCTGTCCAGCCCGCAGTCGCTTGTCATCCGTGACGGGATGCAACAGGTGGTGGACAGCAAGCAGCTGGTGCCTGGAGACATCGTGATCCTCGTCACAGGCGACGGTGTGCCTGCTGACATTCGGCTGTTCACTAGTGTCGATCTCAAGTGTAACGAGATGCTGCTCACGGGCGACTCGGAGGATGTCCCCAAGAAATACAACGCTCCGATCCACCCCGCTGGAGCCGGCAAACCTGCCAAGTTGACAGCGAGTAACATGGTCTTCTCGTCCACGACGATCACCGCCGGCAACGCTCGTGGTATTGTAGTGGAGACTGGTATGAACACGCGGGTGGGCTCCATTGCAGCTCTACTACAAGCCAAGAGCGGCACGGATGCGTCTGCAGAGAAGAAGTGGATCCGTAACCCTCTTGGTGACTGCATCGCCAAGCACCGTCCGAAGCTCACGCCTCTGCAGCGAGCTCTACACCACACTGGGTACGTCATGGGTCTCATCGCGGTGGGTGTGGCCATCCTCGTGTTTATCGTCGGTATGATCCGCGGCAATGAAGATCCTCGTCACCCGGACAGACCCACGTACTTGACTATGATTATGGCTGCTGTGTCTGTGGCCGTGAGTGCTGTTCCCGAGGGTCTACCGATGGTCGTGACTATCTGTCTGTCGTCCGGTACGGCCGAGATGGTCAAGAAGAATGTGCTTGTACGTAAACTCGCGTCAGTGGAGACGCTAGGCGCAGCGTCGGTCATCTGTACCGACAAGACGGGAACATTGACGGAAGGCAAGATGACTGCAGTGAAGCTCTGGGGCGATTTCCGCGAGTATTCAATCACTGGCAAGGGGTTCACACCTGAAGGCTCTATCCTCGCTTCGGACGGTAGCAGTCAAGGCGAACCGGAGGCCGGAAATGTGCAAGTTCGCGCGACTTTGATGGCCTCGGTGCTGTGCAGTAACACGCAACTCAAGCAAGTGGAAGGGGACGACGGCGAGACTCCACGTTGGCTTCCGTTTGGCAACTCGTCCGAGGCGCCTTTGGTCGTTGCAGCCGCTAAGGCAGGCATCTGGGAAGATAGTCTGCTGGAAGACTATCCTCGGCTAGTGGAAGTACCGTTCAGCTCATCACGTAAGATGATGGTCACAGTGAACGCCCTACCTGTGGTGAATGGCATGGCGATGTTCGATACGTTGGCGCTTCCAGGTGACCAGCCGCCCAAGCTGGTGGCTAACGTGAAGGGCGCACCGAACTACATTTTACGCAACTGCACCCAGTACTGCCGGAAGGATGGCACGTTCGAGACGTTGAACAACGTACAGCGTCAGGAGATTCTCGAGGCGGTAGATGCGCTCTCGTCGCAGGCGCTGCGTGTTCTTGCTGTGGCTATCCAGCCGATGCACGAATTGCCGTTCGGGGAAGACTGCGACGATGTGGACGAGAAGTTTGAAGCCTTGTCCAAGCCGTTGGTGTTCCTCGGACTGGTGGCGTCTATCGACCCGGAACGTGACGGCGTGCGCGATGCCATTGCCACTGCACGAGCTGCTTCCATCCGTACGGTGATGATCACTGGCGACTACCTCGCTACGGCTGTTGCTATCGCCAAGAACATTGATTTGCTACAAGTGGGCGCGGACCCGGAGGCTCAAGCAACAGACTGCACGCAGCTTCGTCCGAATGGAGACGTGTACTTGCCCCCCGCTGACATCGACGAGATCACGTCACGCACGTTGGTGTTTGCTCGTGCCAAGCCCGAAGACAAGATCGAGATCGTGAAATCTCTTCAACGTCAAGGACTCATCGCTGCTATGACTGGAGATGGTGTCAACGACGCACCAGCGTTGAAGGAGGCGGATATCGGTGTGGCCATGGGGATTTCAGGCACGGAAGTGGCCAAGGGAGCGTCCGACATGATCTTGATGGACGACAACTTCTGCAGTATCGTCACGGCTGTGGAGAAGGGCCGCGTCATCTACGCCAACATCCAGAAGTTTGTCATGTTCTTGCTGTCCACGAACATCGGAGAGATCATCCTGATCTTCATCTCGGTGGCTGGCGGGTTCCCGCTTCCTCTCGAGGCGCTGCACATTCTGCTGCTCAACCTGTTCACGGACGGTATGCCTGCTGTCGCTCTAAGCTTAGAGAAGGGCGACCCACACATCATGGCAGACAAACCACGTCACAAGCAGACTTCGCTGATCCACGGTCGACTGTGGCTGCTCGTGCTCTTCAACGCGTTCCTGCTTCTCGCTGGAGCTATGACCACTTTTCTCTTGGGACTGTACTGGAACTTCGGCGTGTTGCTGACGGACGACATCTACAATACTGGCGGCGGTCCAGATGGGACGGACTTCACGGACGTGACGTGTCGTCGATGGGAAGGCATCGACGATGGCTGGAAAGTGTACGGCAACTGTGCTGCTCAGTACTCGGACGGCTCGTACATTTTCGGCGAGGAAGTGGCCGGTATGACGTCGTATGAGAACTCGACTGTTTACTGTGAAGGAGGCGACTACGACTGCGTCCCAGCGGGTCTGGGACGAGCTCAGACGATGGTGTTCTTGGGTTTGGCCTTCACGGAGGTGCTGCGAGCCTACACGGTGCGTCACTTCACGGAGCCTGTGTTCGCACGGATGTTGTCGAATGGCTACATGCAGTTGGCGGCGTGTATGTCGGTGATTTTGACGGTGCTCGTGAGCAACGTCCCTGTTATCATGGACGACATCTTTGGATTCGAGTACATTCCGTGGTATCAGTGGTTTGTGGTCGGAGCTGTTGCAGTCAACAACGCGTTCTGGGGTGAGATCCTGAAGGCCTATTTGCGACGGAAGGACCGGGCGCAGGCTCGCTGGGACCACATGAAGAGCGGGTTCGAGGAGATTTTGCTCGAGATTCGGCATGTGCGTCATCATGTTGAGAGGCTTGAAGCGGGTGGAGCTCATCGTGGACTTAAGCGAGAGTAAAAGGCGACAATGTCACCTTGGGAGCGAAGGTGACGAAAGTGTGTATTGCGTATGGATCGACGTGCGTTAAGGCAGCTAAGACTAGGAAAAACTGCCGCGTGAGTTCGTTCTCGAGCCCCAAGAGCAGAGACCGAGTGTAGTTAGCTTTGCGGTTAATGAATTTATCAACATGAATGCTCATTGATGAATGCTTATTGAAACACAGTTAAATGGAGATATTGTAGGCGTCCTAGATGCTGAAGTACAAATCTCTGCCGTCTAGGAGACTGTTTGCTGTGGCTACAAAAATGCTACAATGTTACATGTAAAATGCTCAGGCTGGATCTGAGTCTGAATAGCTGATTTGGGCTTTATCACTTATGCGAGGGCGGAGGTTACGGACTGGGCTTTATCACTTATGGGAGGGCGGAGGGCTCAATTTGGGCCGGGTTTGCTGAACGGGTTCTTTCGAGAATACAAACTGGCAGTATACGGATCAGCAGCAATAGACCAGGATAAAAGAGGGATCGGCTGGACCTCATATAGTGAATAATGGTGGTAATGCTTGCGTTTACTATGGCAAGCCATTACTATCAAAATATACTGCGAAAGGTAAAACTTCAAACTTCAAACGATAAGACATTGGGGTGAGCCCGTCAAAGTGAGTACGATCGACGAGCGCGTAGCTGACAACGGCCCCGGACATGCACGAAACCCGGATGGGGTGGCTGCAGAGCGGTGGTGGATAAGTGGTTGGTCACCGTCCATTCGCCTTCATCCGCCGTTTAATTATTCGGCCTCATTCGCGAATCTTCCTCGGAGACAACAAGCGCATTGAAATGCTACCACTACCGTGCTTGAGATTTGGCGCCCATGTAGTCATATCTCGATCTTGTGAGATTGACACCTCGGTAGTCTCGCCTTCTGTGCGGACGCAAACTCGAAGCTCACACAATTTATATACACCGACTTCAACATTGACAGTCATCCATTCGTCCACCCAGCTGTGGGCTGAAGATTGAGACTAGCCCCAACACAGCCGAAGTCCGCCCCCAAGCGTGTTTTGTGTCAAGATCCTGTACGAGCGCTACACGACACTCAAGTCTCCCTCGGTTGACTCCTGAAACCAGGAGCACGGATCAAGCTCGCCCAAGTTGTGTATCAACTAGAGCTAGGCCAAGTTGCTGTCAAGGCTCCAGTCCACGACGCCAATGCGTCTACCATGCCAGAGCTGCCACGTCAGCTGTCGCTAGTCTGATCAAGATGCCTGGATGCAACAAGCCCTCAACATGGATCAAGCCACCGTTTCTGGCACCATGAGGTCCATTGAGAAGCCATTCAAAGGAGTGGAAGCTGTGTGAGCCTCCACATATATGCTCGTCCTCGACCTCATCTGGAAGCCACCTTATGAATGTGCAGGCTAGCGTGGGGGCTGTTCGCGGTTGCAATTGCGTCTACAGCAGTGATTGCGGTAGCACCAAGCTGCAGGCTTTGCTCAAGATCACACTTGTTCCTGCCACTGATGATGTGATCCCTGCCACTGATTATGTGTTGGCGGTGCTGTGTTGTGACTCGTACACCTTCTATCAGTGTCGACCCAAGCCGAGGACGGTCATTTTCCCAAGTGCCATCCAGAGTGTACGCAAACATTACCGCAGCTCCTGGCTGTTGATGTCATTGCTGCCGCTTCAAAGTCTTTGCCGTTGCCGCCACCTATGCTACCACGCCCAGGCTGTTGGTGCTGTCGGTATCAACGGTACCAAGCTCACGTCGTCGGTGACACAGACCCCAATGCCACCCCCAAGCGATTGATGTTGTCGGTGCCAGCGCTGCCAATTTCATGCCATCGCTGCTGGCGCCATCTCTACCACGTCATCGGCTCTACCGGCACTAGTACTTCCACTCTCAAGTCGTTGGTGTTGCCGTCACTAAATCTTCCACTTTCATGTTGTCTGTGTTATCGGTGTCAACGCTACCAGCTCTATGCCGTCGGCGTTGCTACGAGTAATGCGGTCGCTTTCAAGTCCAGCCCCGATGTCGCTCTCCCAAGCTGCCGGCGTTGCCAGGACCAATGCTGTCACGTTCAAGTTATTGTCGCCAGTGTTGTCGGCACCAGCGTTCTACTCCAAGGCGTCGCTGTTTTCGACAAACTAGCAGCTTCACGTCGTCGGTACTGTCGCCGACAGCTTGCCGGTGCCATGCATATTCTGCTGGTCGCGCAATACTGCCCACGTCGATGGCGGCGATTCTGTTGCCACCAAGCACTACCATTTGTAACGAGATACACTGGTCGGCGTTGCTGCCGCTACTGTGAGAACGACGTGTGTTGGTGAGTCATTGTTGCGGAGTAAGGGCTTTCGAGAGGAGATGGTCGTCCACATACAAAACAGACACCGCGCATCGCCATGCTTGTGTCACGTTAGTGTCACACTCTCACCGTCTCGCGCATGTGTAGGCAGCCTTGCACTTTGCAGAGGACAAGATACAGCAGCTTGCTGAAGTGCGGCGTTCGTGTGATACACGTATGGCCCCACGACGGAATGCCGTAATCCGCGTGCGCGTTGTGTCGTGGAGTCTAGATACACAAGTTTGCGTCGCTGACGCTCAACTATTGCGTCTGTACAACGGCAGGTAGCAGGCTGCACGCTACGAGTTTTGCGGCGGTTGTCGTGTTACCAGAAGTGTTGAGCACTTCAATCGCTCTTCGCCGACTGTCTGCTGTTGCTGCAGTATATGACGGTACGCTCGCGGTGGTAAGGCGGTGCGCTGCATAATCGTCGTCACAAATGGCTCAAGCGCTGTTGCCGCTCCTTTTTCTGATAACTCACGGGAGATGCGACTCTTCGTTCTGTGGTCCACATAATCTGGGAAAATGACTTCTCAGCGATGTGGTCCACATAATGTGATTATCGAAATTGCACAAAAGAACCAGAATTACCTTCCATGCTGACGAGAGGTCTGTTACATCGTCCCTGAAGCGCGAATGCCCCCATCTCCGAGACCATGAAACTCAGGAGAAGCTGACCAAACAAGTCTCGTCCTTGGCGGGGAAAGAGTGTTGAAAGTGCGCTCGAGCTTCGGCTGCAGTTGGATGTCGAGAGATCTTTGCATCTTCACTCGTCTGCAGTCGCTTGTCATCCGTGACGGGATGCAACAAGTGGTGGACAGCAAGCAGCTGGTGCCTGGAGACATCGTGATCCTCGTCACAGGCGACGTTGTGCCTGCTGACATTCGGCTGTTCACAAGTGTCGATCTCAAGTGTAACGAGATGCTGCTGACGGGCGAATCGGAGGATGTTCCCAAGAAATACAACGCTCCGATCCACCCCGCTGGAGCCGGCAAACCTGCCAAGTTGACAGCGAGTAACATGGTCTTCTCGTCCACGACGATCACCGCCGGCAACGCTCGTGGTATTGTAGTGGAGACTGGTATGAACACGCGTGTGGGCTCCATTGCAGCTCTACTACAAGCCAAGAGCGGCACGGATGCGTCTGCAGAGAAGAAGTGGATCCGTAACCCTCTTGGTGACTGCATCGCCAAGCACCGTCCGAAGCTCACGCCTCTGCAGCGAGCTCTACACCACACTGGGTACGTCATGGGTCTCATCGCGGTGGGTGTGGCCATCCTCGTGTTTATCGTCGGTATGATCCGCGGCAATGAAGATCCTCGTCACCCGGACAGACCCACGTACTTGACTATGATTATGGCTGCTGTGTCTGTGGCCGTGAGTGCTGTTCCCGAGGGTCTACCGATGGTCGTGACTATCTGTCTGTCGTCCGGTACGGCCGAGATGGTCAAGAAGAATGTGCTTGTACGTAAACTCGCGTCAGTGGAGACGCTAGGCGCAGCGTCGGTCATCTGTACCGACAAGACGGGAACATTGACGGAAGGCAAGATGACTGCAGTGAAGCTCTGGGGCGATTTCCGCGAGTATTCAATTACTGGCAAGGGGTTCACGCCTGAAGGCTCTATCCTCGCTTCGGACGGTAGCAGTCAAGGCGAACCGGAGGCCGGCAATGTGCAAGTTCGCGCGACTTTGATGGCCTCGGTGCTGTGCAGTAACACGCAACTCAAGCAAGTGGAAGGGGACGACGGCGAGACTCCACGTTGGCTTCCGTTTGGCAACTCGTCCGAGGCGCCTTTGGTCGTTGCAGCCGCTAAGGCAGGCATCTGGGAAGATAGTCTGCTGGAAGACTACCCTCGGCTAGTGGAAGTACCGTTCAGCTCATCACGTAAGATGATGGTCACAGTGAACGCCCTACCTGTGGTGAATGGCATGGCGATGTTCGATACGTTGGCGCTTCCAGGTGACCAGCCGCCCAAGCTGGTGGCTAACGTGAAGGGCGCACCGAACTACATTCTACGCAACTGCACCCAGTACTGCCGGAAGGATGGCACGTTCGAGACGTTGAACAATGTGCAGCGTCAGGAGATTCTCGAGGCGGTAGATGCGCTCTCGTCGCAGGCGCTGCGTGTTCTTGCTGTGGCTATCCAGCCGATGCACGAATTGCCGTTCGGGGAAGACTGCGACGATGTGGACGAGAAGTTTGAAGCCTTGTCCAAGCCGTTAGTGTTCCTCGGACTGGTGGCGTCTATCGACCCGGAACGTGACGGCGTGCGCGATGCCATTGCCACTGCACGAGCTGCTTCCATCCGTACGGTGATGATCACTGGCGACTACCTCGCTACGGCTGTTGCCATCGCCAAGAACATTGATTTGCTACAAGTGGGCGCGGACCCGGAGGCTCAAGCGACAGACTGCACGCAGCTTCGTCCGAATGGAGACGTGTACTTGCCCCCCGCTGACATCGACGAGATCACGTCACGCACGTTGGTGTTCGCTCGTGCCAAGCCCGAAGACAAGATCGAGATCGTGAAATCTCTTCAACGTCAAGGACTCATCGCTGCTATGACTGGAGATGGTGTCAACGACGCACCAGCGTTGAAGGAGGCGGATATCGGTGTGGCCATGGGGATTTCAGGCACGGAAGTGGCCAAGGGAGCGTCCGACATGATCTTGA